AGATATTTGAATTACTACCACGCAAAAAATTCACTTTTATATGTGGAAATATCTACTTTTTGCTTAAAGACGGTCGCGAAACCAGAAACTTGTGTAGCAGAATTATGGAAAATAGAGTATAATATACATTTAAAAAAAAAAAAAAATAATCACATTTCAACCAAAAAGTTTTCGGTTTATCTTCTTTTTCACACTTTTATACACTTTTCTCTCGTTGGGACAGCTATAATATATATGCGCCAACGGCTTAGTGGTACAATCCCCCGAATGGCGCCAATTCAGCCCGGTTCGGATCCTAGCTAGAGGCAACCGGATGTCTATCACGCTGATGAGCTGTGATACAGCGAAACATTCTGTCTGTATATATATATATATATATATATATATATATATATATATATATATATATATATAACATTTTCTTGATTGCATTCCTTCATTTTCCTACCTAAAATTTAACAACTTGTTTTTAGCTTACTCATTGCTTTGTTTGTGGTGCATTTGTTCATTACGACCAACAAATTGTTTCTGTGTTAAAGGCTAAAATTTTCATGCAGTGAAACAAATGGAATTTTTCCTCTTTGTCTTTTTCTTTGATAGTGGCAGTTCGATTAAACTCAGACAAACATGGATCTCTTTCAATATAAACAAAAGAAACAATTCCAAATAGAATAAAGGGAATTATATTTAAAGGATGTTCGACTCAAGTATAGTAATTATGAGATTTTAAATATTTTCATTAAATGACAGAGTAGTTTAATTTTCTTTAACGATAAACTCTACAGAACCTATTTGTCATTTTAAAAATGTACTTATTTTAAATAATATATCCGATTTAAATCGTTACTGCTAGCAACAAGACATGTTTTGGGGGAATATATAGAATTGCTTTGACGGGAGAGTCAGTTTATTTTTCAATGTGGCCTTTGTAAACATCAAACTTGACTTTCAATTTGTTATTTTCTATTCATAGCATAAATGGCTTTATAATACTTAAAGTATATATTAATACATAAAATTGTCAGGAATAAAGCAAGTAGCATTTTAACCTAATAACATTTTTAAAATGATTTAATTTCAATTACTTAAATAATTCTGAGGGCCTAATAGATTAATTTTCTCGTAATCTCTGAATGTAAACAGAACAAAGAGAATTTTTACCGAATACACCTTTTCATTTAATGTGTATTTGACAACAATTTTATTAATGTGTTCCATTTTTCATGATTCAGTAAAAGTAAGTAACACAAAGAACCACTTTTAGGGGTTTATCGAATCATGGATATATCTGGATTTGGCGCGATTTATTTTATAAATCTATGTGCCAAAATAGATGGAAATTATGAATAAAGAAACAGGAAATAATTTTTGAAAAGGAAGTAAAATGTAACTACATTTTAAGAATATTAACATTACAAATTTTACCTTGATTTATAACGATGTTATAATATATGGTGGAAATAGTGAAAATTATTTAAGTATATATAGGATATAGTGATTTTTAAAGCGTAGCTTAGATGTGGTACAAGGCCGAAAGTATGGGACACTCACTTCTTAGCTGTAATTTTACTAGCGAGACAAGTTTGATAACCATTACACCACCTCGGGATATCCATTAGATATGGGATATAAGTGGTAGCATAACGATTGTTGGCAAAAAACCTGAAAGATATGGTTCGAATCCCGACTGTGGTTGCTGAGGGTTAATTTGTAATAATGGCCTTCCGAATTGTGAAAAGCCACAAACCTGTTCCATTGCCAAGTATTTTAACATAATGTGTTTATCACTGTCATATGACTATGATCAAAATTCGAATGGGCACCATCTAGCATATAATTTCCTACTCCTCAAACTACAGCAAATTGTCAATCATGACATGAGATAATCATTTGATACAAATAAATATATATAATATATATATATATATATATATATATATATATATATATATATATATATTAATGCATGTTTCATTAAATAATATAGACAAGTTTTGTCTATTTATTTTATGTAAGTTCCTTTCATATTGTCTGATAAGCTTAATCACATTATCATTGAAAGACGAAAGGAAAACACTATATTGATACATGTTTAAATCCAATCTAGGCTTTCGGCTTACATGAGACATTACAAGTGTGACAATTTCAATATCTCAAACAACACATGGACGAAACAACAATGATAGTCCGCCCTTCCTGCATGAAAAATTTCAAAGGAACGACAAACTTGTGTATACGAGACTCGGAAGCGGAAATCGCGTCACAGCTCGTGACGTGACGCATGACCACGCGAGAGGGAAAAACGAGAAGTATTAAGTATGGGGAACCGTTCGTATAAACCAATGGCTTCTGTTATAAATTATAGGCATTAAAAATATTTGTGGAGATTTCATAGTTTATATTGCTCAGGTTAGGTTTCAACTGTTTTATGTATATAGCTTCAAGAATTTTTAATTGTTGTTTATTGTTTTCATCTTTAAGTATAGTTGTGTTGTCAACAAGAATTTTCCGGAATTGAGTACGCAGCCAGGCATGTTGTTTTAAATGCCTAAAAATGTTAGAATTATTATTTCAATGTAGAGTCAAACGCCGTGAAAGCGAGTTTGTGGTGTGACCAACATAAATATTATTTAATCCATTGGAGATACAATCTCCCAAAGGGCACTTGAATTTGTAAACTATGTTGATTTTTTGCAAATCGCTAACGGGGAGAGGGGAAGAATCATTGCGAATAGTTATGATGGATATACTAGATTTAGTGTAGTATATGATTAACCTAATTTTTTTGCTAGGATCTGTTGTAGATATATTAGTACTTACTATTTTTGTAGTATATTTTCATCTTGTTTATAATTAGTATGCATTTGACTACGATAAAAGAGATTAATATGTTTGGAATTAGTTGAAGCAGTATTAGGTTCTATTTGCTTAGTATTCATACTTCTAAGAAAGTATTTTATTTTTTCATCAACTATATAGTTTGGAAAGCAATTATTAATAAATGTTTTATATTCTTTAGTTCGCTGTAAAAAATCTGTTTTGTAGATGAATTAGTTTCTGCACGATGTATTGGATTTTTTATAATTGCTATTTTGTAGTAATATGGACATTCGCTTTTGTAGTTAAGTGTACATGAAGTATATATATATATATATATATATAATTATTTATTTAAACCCATATATATATATATATATATATATATATATATATATATATATATATATAATTATTTATTTAGGAAATTTTATAACATAAACATGTTATAAAATCACTACATATATATATATATATATATATATATATATATATATATATATATATATAAATATTTGATTCCATCGCCATGCGCATCAGTGAGCGTATGAATGAGAAAAATATAGACTGTAATATGAGAAAAGAAAGGAAGAATTGTAATGTTAAACTACGATGAAAGTCTTGCTGCAAAAATCTAAATCCAGACGACATAAATTACGAACATTGAAATTTTGCCGCACATATTTTTACCAACGATACATTTTCACCGTATTGTTGTCTATTTTACAGCCCATAGTAAATGAAAGACTCGTTTCTCTTTATCGAACATAATTAATAAATTATCATTCCTAAACATTTGGAATTGTGGTCACACGAAAAATAAAAACTTAGAAAGTGTCAAGTAACCTTAAAAAGATTAAATTAAAAATTTTGCTTTTGTTAATAATTTCATGTTTTATTCTTTAAATATTAACGAGATACTCTGCGTTAAGGAAATAGTGCAATTCTATGCAGTTCCCTATGACTTCTTACTGTAAAACAAAAAACAAAAAAAAACGACTAATTTTCGACAATGCTTATCATATCAAGGAGACCAACCAGCAGCTCCTCAATGCAGATTCGTTGAAGACTGTCATAGTGGATGTGATAACAAATATGAACAAGAAACATGATCCGACCAAGAAGTCGTTTACGAAGCCGCATCGCAACCATCGTTGAGTTTGATTGTTTTATTGAATAAATATTTTCAGTTTTCTAAACTAAACATGTGTGCATACGTTTTGAAAATGTACATAATTAACATCTACATACATGCGTACTAATTTAGAACAAGCTTTATAAGGAATCTAACGTAATGCTCATGTTAAAATCTCAACCTTCAACAAAAATTCAAATCCTAAATTACAAAATTTTAGTAGTGGTGTTTTAAAAATGTCTAGAAGGAAATATACCAATAAGAAGATTTTGTTTCAATATTATATACATTTTTGAAATTTGAAAATTCCAGATAACTCTGTGGTTGGTGGTTCTCATGCATGACAATGAATGATATGACAAATTATCATTTTTGATGGATTCATATTTGCTTCATTCATTAACACGTAATTTAATATTAATTTATGAACTGATAATTATGTTGCCTCAATGAAAATAAAAATTATGCATAATCTTTTTGTTTGTTCTGTTAAACAAGAAGCGACTTATAAGTATACATATAATGCGCGATTCAATTATAAATTTTAACGAAGCTAGAAAATACTCCTCTCTAAATTATTGTATTAGCTCATGCTTCAGTATATATGTTTTTACTTTAAATTTGGACCATTTTTTCAAACCTTGCAATTCCAGAAAAAAGAAATTTCCTCAATGGACCAGTTAGACTAATATAATAAAATATACTCCCGATTATAAGATTTCAAAGAAGAAAGTTTTTCAAATTTTAAAATTCTCTTCTGATTATTCAAATGTTTTATTTATTTATATTTTGGATTTGAATATTTGCCCTCTTCCAGGTCGCTTTTCAAATAACAAAAGAATTTTTGAGCTCTCAAGATTTAGGAAAGGGCATTTAAATAGAACAAAAGGAACAGATAACTTCTGAGACAGTGGGCAAGAGTGGACATTTCTTTCAACGACACCTTTCTTTGTCAGTGAGAAGGTTGGAGGCTAGAATGTCGAAAGCTGGTGCGGAAGTAAAAGAGAACAGAGTTGGGGATCCTTGAAGATCAGTAGGAGGTTAGAGGTTAAGGATGGAACTGTGTAAAGGAAAGGAACTTGCACAAAGAGCAAAGTAGAAGTCTGTATTTGAAAGGAATATAATTGTGGGGAAAATAAGAAGTGAAGAAGACAGGGAAAATGAACAAAATTGAAGAAGAATAATATAAAGGCGTCTTAATGACAGAAAATAAAAAGAGAGAGAGAGAGAATAAAAGATTTAAAAGAGAAAAATTGATGAAAAGGGTCAAAACGAAATAAAAGAAACTAGATGAAATGTGCATTGTAGGGTCAATAAGGAATGCATATACAGAACAGTGGTTAAGAAAAGTGAATTTAGAAAAACAAATTGAGTAAAGAATTTACCAAATAGTGTGGATCTCAGATAAGAAATGGAAATAAGTAATAGCATGAAAGACAATATCATAAAATATGAAGATTAAAAAAGAATGGAGGAGAAAGTAGAAGGAAGAATATTGAGCGAGAAAAAAAATTGAAAGAAAAATAGAATAAAAGAAGAAAAGGGTCGGAAAAAAATGATACGTAAAACTAAAGATATTATAGTGTTATTGGGATAAAAAAAAAAGTGAAAAAGAATAAAAAAAAAGAAAGAGATAATACACATAAATGTCTTAGGAAAGTGAAAAGAAAGTATGTGAAAAAGAGAAAAGAGAATGCTACATAACAAAGAATGTTAATGGTAACTAAGGAAGAACAAAGACAATATGTAAAATACAGACAAAAACTATCATGTCCAGTAATAAAAAGCACTCGATGAACTAAAGAGAAAGTCACATGAGGTTCTAAAGTTTTATTTAAAAAATGGCAAATTGCAAATGTAAGATTTCTTTAAAAAACAAAGGTGTTACAATAAGTTTCTTTGTTTTAAAAAAGTATTTAATCAAATGTTGGCATGACTATAATTTAGAAAGTTGAGTTGGGCAAAAATTTCAGAAAAGAAGTTATTGAATTTAGCATGTATTTTATTTTTATTATTTCTTTCTTAATCATTATTTTTAATAAAATTCGCTACCTAAATATAAAATTAATCTTGAACTGATCACAATTTCAAAAGTTTGATATTTTTTCAAAATCAATAAACTAGTTTCCATGAAAGAAATTAAGTTCATATTCAAAATAATAAAGATATCTTTATATTAGACAGCAAAATAATTACATATGTTATAATGTTAGATTGCATGCTTCTGCATTAAAAAAATAAGCATATCTTTATAAATAATTTCATGTGATTTATTAAATTAAAAGTATAACAAACTATCGAATTACAGATAACATGAATTATCGATCAGTTATACATTAATAATTCTATAGAACTTTCTGATAAGAAAAAATGTAAAAATTAGAAGATGGAAAAAATAAAAATTACGATTACTTTAAAACATAAAATACAGTGAAAAGGAACTAGGTAAGAGAAAGAGAGTGGAAGGATGAAGAGAGAGGAAGATAAGGAGGCGAGAGACAAAAAGGGAAAGGGGAAGAAAGTTAATAGGGTTGGACAGAAGGCCCATAAGAAGATGAAAGATGTGTAGTGAGTGTGATCAGGTCGGATCAAGGTGGTCATCGCGGATCAGAAAAGGAGGAGTAGGAACAGGCAAAGAACGGGGCGCAATATACATGTGAAGAGAATTCAAGGAAGTGGGAAAAGATCGTTAAAAATGTACAGTTGATGACGTCGAAGAATAAAAAAAGTGGTGGGTGAGGAAGATTAACAATTGGTGGGAGGGAGTCAGGAAGTTGTGGCTAGACGAAGATGGAGCCCTAAGAGATGAACATTTGCAGGAGAGAAATATCTTGAAGACAATAAGAAGAGAGAGAGAAAGAGAGAGAGAGAGGCTGGGGGAAGAGAAGGTTGGTGTTTGTGGAAATTGTGGGCTACGTGTTCCGACCACAGCATCATCTTTGTGTGTATTACAGTCGCAATTGTGGTCACATATTCGACCGCATCTCAGTTGGGTGAAGGAAGGAATAGAAATAAGCAAAATTGTCAGTAATATATGGAAATGGATGAAAATAAAATCTACGAAGCAAAGAAGTAAAAAAAAGCAAGAAAAGAAAAAGCTGTGGTTGTGACGAAAGATTAAAATGAAATGAAAAAAGTGTTTAAGGCGAAGAAAAATTGGATCGAAAATAAAATTAAATTGAAGTAATAAAGATTAAAGAACAAAAATAATATTAAGAGGAAAGATAGGAATTCTAAAGATTAAACCATGAAGGGCAGTGAGAGAGAAAGAGAGAGAGAGAAAGAGAGAGAGAGAGAAAGAGAGAGAGAGTGGTGGGGGAAGTAAATGAAAGAAAATTATGACGGTAGCAAAAAATGGTAAAGATTAAAAAAAGATATTAAGAGTAAAGAATTGGTGACTGGTCAGAAAGGCGAAGAGACTTAGGGTTATGAGTCGGGTATGTGGTGAATTGAGTTGATAGAGGTAGAAGGAGAGAGTAGAAATAAAGATGGAAGAAATGAAGGGTGAGAATTGAATGGGAGAACACATGGAAAGGACATCCAGTCTCTTCATCTTCATCCCACTCATCCTTTTCCACGTTGTATCTTCTCATCCTTTATCCGGTTCTTAGCTCCACGCCAACCCCTTACAATCACCTCCCGAATCCTCCTGCCAACCACCGATACCGCAATTTTCATCAGCAAACCGCCGTCCGTCTGTCTCATCTCCTTCACTCCGGGACTTGCCACGCTAACCCAGCACCTAAGAACCACTCTCCCCAACTGCTAGCCACCGTTTGGCCGCAACGTAAATGATTCTGATGCTAATAATCCCGGAATTTTTTTTCTTCCTTGTCTGTCTGCCTTTCTTTATCGTTTGTGTTCTTCAGAGTTCACCACAAGAACTAGACCCATGACCACAACTTTTGGTTTTCTTCTCTTTCTTCAGTTTTCATTCAACATCTCAAACTTTCTCTTTTTTTTTTCTCTTTTTGTTCTTCTTTCCTAAAGTTTTCTAGATTTTCCTGCACTGTCATTCTTTTTTATCTTCCTATCGTCTTATCCTCTTCATCCACTTCCTTCTTTTTATCTCACAAATTTGAATTATTTGACGATCGTTTCCTTTGTCAATCTGTTCACTCGCTTTTTTCTCTAATTTCCTTTCTTTTTCTTCGCAGTTTCCTTTTCATCCATTTTATTTATCCCTTTTCCCGATACTGTCTTCTAATATTTTAAACTTTTACTTTTTTTATTTGTTTAATTTTCTTTTCTTGTCTATTTTTCATTCGCCGCTGGTTGTCTCTCAAACATTATCCTCTTTATATGTCACCCTTGATTTTCTTCTCTCTCTCTCTCTCTCTCTCTCTCTCTCTCTCACTCACACTCACACACACACACTCCCCCTACTCCCCTTCCCTCTTTCATCTTGTCCACTTCTCTTTTACAGTTCTGTGCATCCACTCTAATAACTTTTTTAATCCTTCTTTCTCTTTCTACCAATTTATCTTGACTGTCCCCACCCTCAGTTCATCCGATCACCCATCCCCGTTTCCATGAATTCTCCACACCCAACCGCCACAGAACACCACTTATATTTTTTCAATATTATCATTATCATTAATGTTTTGTTCGACAAAACCCCTACCCATCTTTATTTTCTTTCTACCTTCCCGTCTCCTTCGTCTCATCCATCCCCCACAATCCCATCACCATCGCCTTCATCTTCCCACAACTGCATTTGACAATTACTCTGTGGTGATAGCGCTAAGGTAGCGCCTGACGACGTTGTGGTCCCTGCGGTTGTTGGAATGACTTTTGTGTGCCTATGTGCGTGTACAGACGTACTTAAATGCGTTATCGAGAGAGCTTTTAATGATGCTAATGTGTGTAAGTGCTTTATTTGTGTATGAATGTATGAACAGTGTGTGTGAGTGTGAGAGAGAATGAGATTATATTCATAAATGGCTGTACGCATAAATGCGTTTTCGAATCTATTTTTTAACCTATTTGAATATGTTTATGTGCATAATCATATGTGAATGTGCGTTTGAGAATGGCGGGGGGACTGAATACAATTCCGGCACCCTATTCTCGTAGGTACAAAGACGTATACCCATAGGACCATTCAGACACATACGCACCCATTTACAATGACAAAAACCTGGTCAACAAGCATTCACATATAATGTTCTTTTTTGAGCTATCTCTAAGGAAAATGTGTCTGTAATCAAATTTATTACTTAGATACCTTAATATTATCGATAGACAAAGGCACACAAGACTTTCTCTTTGTGCATGCATCAGGAGTAAAATCTGTCTAAAATTAAACAATGACTTTTTGAATACAGGTTTTGGTATGTGAATGCTTTTTTGTTGTTTTGTGAATTGCAATATGGGGATGACTATCTATGTTCATGTCTGAGTGTCTATATTTGTGTTTGATGAGTGAGTGTGTGTTCCTCACCATTATGTGTGTATTTGCAGGCATCATACAATGGGATGCACAAAGGTTATCTGAATTTTCACAAATGATCAAACTTGAGATTTTTAAAATCCTTTTATCCTGACTGAGAACTTTTCAGTATAATCTGCATGTTTCTTTGCAAGTGCTAAAATATGTTATTTAAAAATTAAGTTCATAAATTTGTACATCTTTGTTGCTGAAAGTTATGGAGTACACTTATACATTTTTCAGTATTTTACTATCATAAACTAAAGACGGCTGCAATAATTTAAAAATATCTCTTTAGGCATGCATGTACACATATAATTTAGATAAATGATTATGTCAGATGCAGTGGGTTTAAATAAGTTTATGATTTGGTTGTGCATCTTATCTGAATTTAGTGTTTGAGATGAAACTGCTATCATTTCTCTGACTACAGCCATAACCTCAGTCATCATCTCACTATACAACCGAATACTTTGAACCTCTAACAACAACTACTACACGTCTAATAACATTATGCCAACAATTGGGTTCAATTATCCTAACAAAACAACATCAACTACACAAGTTCTTGCTATAATTACTGACCAAAGTGATAAACCACGTTGTTCAGTCATTAGCATCAGTCAACAAAATGAAGCTCTGTCTCAGATACCAGATCGATAGAATACATTATCTTGCAAAAGAAACATAACAAAATTTCAAATATTGAATGTATTTGTTCAAGTATGATATATGAAAGCAATATCTACATCATAAATTTCACCGTTGATATTGTGAATGTCTTAAAGTAAATCTGCTCTTACTAATCTTCCAACATTTTCTCACCTTCAAAATCTTGTTTGATTTTCTTATCAGAACCCCCTTCTCACAAAGTCTGTAATTTGGTCAATACATTTGCTTATGAGTAAAGAAAGTGTAATATTTCATTAGATGCATACATGCTTTAATGAGTATATGTGCATACATGGATTTGAATAGCTTATGGTAATTAGGGTTAACCGTGTCAGGTATGAACAGGTATGTTTAAAACATGGAGAAAAAAAGACAAGCAAACAAATTGTTCTGGTTGAGGAATAAGTCAGCAAGTGAAAGAGAAAATATTAATGGATAAATAAATACAAAAAGAATGGGATTAGATCCCATTTTGAATAGGCTATACTTTAATGCTAAATCAATTTAACTTGACATCATCTGGCTGATTCTAGCTTGAAGGAAGTAATACTTCAGTTGGTCTTTGCATCTGTGTTTTTGGGGCACCATGATGCTGTTTACCATTGACAAGGCCACTGTAAAGGGTGGTTCATGGGAGTCATAAAGATGCCATTTTGTTGACTTTTGACAAGGTTCCCAACCAGCGATGTGGTCTGTACTCTGTCGCTTTAGTGCCCTGATTACTTTCTCAACCTCATCGTCACCTTCCATGATGGCATGTTTTGACACATCTGCATGCAGAATGAACACTTCGAAACATTTCCAGTCTCCAGAAGCCTGAAACAAGGCTGCATCCTGGCTTCAATCCTGTTCTCCATCTACCTGGTGGCAATGCTCATTGAGACTCTATGTGACTCCATTGGTGTTGACATCTGACTGCTTGTATCTGTATTACAATATTGCCTGTTTGCTTTGTTCCTATTCATCTTAGTCAATTTAGACATTAATATTTTTGGTCCTTCCATAATTGTATGTATTTTATGTTTTCCCCTTTCATCATGGAAAAGTTCTACAATGTATTCATCCCAACTCTGAAATATTTATTTATATATCAGTGTTCTCTTTTTTGATTTCATGCATCCTGTATGAACAAATCTTCTATCCAGTTGTTTCTCTTTTATGCCTATCTGCCTCATAAAAAGTGCTGATATGCATTAAAGAATATAAAATTATTATATGTGGATGTTAATAATCATAAACTTTCCAATATTGAGCATGTCATCACGCTAAGAACATGGGGTGAAATGTGTTGATATTGATATGGCTTGCATGTATGGAAAATTATGTAGTTTTCTGAATACTAATTTGCAAAATGTAAGTTACTAATCCTTGATTCCTACTTCATTGAGGGTTGCTTAGAATTTCCTTACAAATAAATAGATTTTAAATTTGAAAATATGACAATTTCTTTTTCAAGATTTAAGTTCTCTCTACACTGACCAGCAGTTGATGATCTTTGTTGATTAAAAAATTAGAGAGCAATTCATAAATAGTTACAAAGAAAACTCTTTAACAAGGAAATAAATTATTTTACATTAAAAATCAAATTTTCTTTACTCAGTTTCTTTTATAGTTTATTTCAATGTTTGGGAACTTACATATGTTTATCCTATAATTTGTTTTAATGTACAGATTTCATTTTCTTGTTTATTTGTCTATAAAAAATGTTTTTTTCTATTTTTCTGTCCTCGTTTTAGGTTATTCTTCAGAAAATTTTATAAGTTAAGATATTATTTTCCTGAATTTTCCTTCATTTTTGTCATTATCCTTCCAATTAAAATTCTTCAATTTGTTTCTCTTCCCAATTGGGAAGAACAAAATAGTGGATTGTCATCACAATTTCTTTTCTTCATAAGAAATTCAAATGACAAGAAAAAAATATTATTGAAAAGAAATATTTAATTAAATTGTGACTTTCTTAATATTTCATTAGCTATTCACATTATCCTAAAAAGAATTTGAATAAATTTCTTCCTTTATATTTGAAAGTTTCAGATTAACAAGTTTCTCCTGTTTTAATTCTCTTTTCAATTCAGTATGATCAATGTTAAGCTGGCCTTAATATCACATTATTTCATCAAGAAATAGTATCAATTGCACATTTTGTTTACCTTCTTTCATCTTACTAAGAGTAAATTAATTTGGGAAGATTTTGTCAAATAAATAACTACATTATTTCAACTATAGGAAAAGATATTAGTGTTTTGACCGATACAGATTCACTCAGATATTTTGATCTAAACAAATTCAAAATGAAATTCCAATTAGAGCCAGTTCAATGCATGTATTCTCTAGGATTTTAACTAAAATGATTTTAGTAAAAATGATTTTTAATTAAAATGTATTTTCATGTTAAATTTTGCTATCTGTATGGATAGGAAAAAATT